AGTTTGTCCAACATCGCCTCTGCCTGCAGCTTCTGAAAATTCCTTCAGTCAAGCATGACCCACACTCCCTCTCCCTACCTTAGTCGTGTGTCCTTTATCAAAATTCGTTACACTTGGTGCACGGTAGCCTAATGTATCAAGAGCCTACTACGAGGTGACGTTTAGCGCTGCGAGACAGAAGTAGACCACCGGCATCCTAGCTGGCGTGGAGGCTGCGTGAAACTAAATGGACCGGTTTTTGAGAGTGAGCGCATCGTCCAACGGGCTCAGTGGAAGAAACTGTGTGTGAATATGCTATTGTGCGAAGACAACGCTGTCAATCTGTGTGTTGTCAAACAGAAACGAGAGGTCAAATAACACAATCCGGGCAAACGCTTGCAGTTTTCTGGCAAATCAAAGTATTATTGCGAACATTAACCATAAAAAGTTCGTTTTTGGAACTTCAGTCCGTATTCACATATGAATTTTATTTGATGAGTTAGGATTGGGAAACGACGCCTTATGTCATATATCGCCACCGTCACTGGTCCAGGAACTACTGATTCAGAGAATAAGTATTAATATTGAATCCCTAAGTGCTGGAACTTAAGCCAAAAATTAGGAAAATGGAAGTATACGTTTTGGTGACTTGGGCATTTGCTGTCTAATGACGTCCACCATGCCACAAATATGTTGGAAATGTTGGCGCTGTATTTTGCTAAACCGCGAATAATATTCCTTTATTTAGTGAAAAAGACATGACGAAACAATATTAAAATTGATACTTTCCTTGACATGTTCTTGAGAAAAAAGACGTCCTAAACTAATTAAGGGAGTGGTCGGGAGTCTCCACGCAAATAAAGTAGATGGTCTAACTCGGGAGGTGTTTTACCAAATATTTGAGTTTGTTTATATGTTCCGTTAAATTGACTTGAGGCGCAAAATGTCCTTCGTCCTAGAAAAGCGTTCACTTCAGAAGAAGACCAAATTGGGCCAAATCTAGCGTTCCTTGATATCAAAGGAAGTTCCTACGTTATTAAATGCTGCAGTTCGAAACGTCTTATTTATGCGTGATTTACATTAACGGAAGCCAGAAAGCGTAATATGAAGGCATATTTACCTGAAAATTTTATATAAGGATTATTCTCAAACGTACTTCTACGTTTGCTGCTTTATTCACTCGATTTTTTGCGCGAACAGGTTTTCTCTTCGTTTAAAACTTATGTCTATTTAATGACTCCGATTTTTCACTTTTTGGAATCTTCCGCTTTCCTAAAAAATTTTTATCTCAAGACAACGTGATATTTCATGTTAAACTGCAATATGCTTTCTTTTTAAGAAATATCTTGGCTTTACTGCTATAATACTTTTGGAGATGAAGCGTGAGCTGCTTTTGCGAAACAGGGATTTCCTTGTAAAAATCCTTGGATTTCATGACGTAAGGCAGGTAGAGTAGGTACATCCTACTTTCTTCCAATGAAAAATAAAGTTATGCATTTTTTAGAGCGAAGGGGCAGGCTTTTCGGTGGTGCGTCCAGGAAAAGTTTGATTTTGGAGTGACCTGTACGGTTACCTGGTTTCTATTGGATAGTATTGAAACCGTGTAAAACGTCTGTAAAAACGTTCCTCTGGTAAAACAAAAACTCCCATTTATAGTATATGCTGACGTTTAAATTTGCTGTAACTGACTAACAATAAGCTCCGGCATCTGGTAGTCTCTGGGCCAGAGCAGAGAGGAACTAAACTGTCAATAATTTAAGATTGAACGTGGTAGAAACTTCATATCGAATAAAATGGCAAATCCTGGACATACCTGACACCAGCCAGGTAGAATGG